CTCTCTCTCTCTCTCTCTCTCTCTCTCTCTCTCTCTCTCTCTCTCTCTCTCTCCCTCCCTCTCCCTCTCTAGGAGAGGATATTCCCTCCGGAGGGCTGCTGGTTCAAGTCACGATGAACTCAATCTTCGCTTCCAATTTACTTCAAGCGCGGAACAGCAAAGCGCGCGCCAGCAGGCAGAGGCGCATTTATTTGCCTTCAAACAATCTGTTCCACCTGCAGAAACACACACACACACACACACACACACACACACACACACACACACACACACACACACACACACACACACACACACACACGTTTTTGATCTTCTATCCTGACGGGGACTTTGCATTGACTTCCATTCATTTACAGGTCGTTTCTACGGCCTAATCTTGACCCCTTACCCTAAACCTGACCCTAACCCCAGACCCATCGACGGCATTTCCACCAGTGGGGACTAGGCTTTTATCTATAACAGTGGGTCCTCATCAGGCTGTGTGTACTGGGAAAATAATTGCCCCCAACACCAGGTAGCAGAAACATGATACACATCTCAGCTTTATGATTCGGAAAAACATTTTTTTATTTATGGTAAATAAATTTCCATAAGACATTTTTTTGCAACGTTGCATATTTTTCCTTCCTTCTATGCAGCATAATGTTTTACTCCATGATCCTTTTCACGTTGTTTCAACTGTAAATTGACAATAAAACAAATATTTAAGGCTGAATATTGCTTAAATGAGTGTCACTCGCCGCCTTTAAAGCCAGAATTTTAAAACTTATGTCCAGAAAGGACCGACTTGAAGTCGTTTTGGTCAAAACCTAATCATCTCATGTGATGTCACGCTCAGATTTCTAAATGATTCTCAAATCCCAGCTCAAACTGTTCAACTGATTGTTTTGCCATTTTGTGTTGGTTAATATCAATATGCTGCAGAGGCCATCTTAAACTCGTTTGACTCCAGATGTGAATTAATTTCTGAAACAATCATTAAAATCCCTCCAGTGGTCCATGGGATATTTTGCTAACAGACAGCATACAGTTGATGTCAGCGTTTTAAATGCTGCACAAGTAGCTCTTGGATTAAGCTGTGTTGAACAATTCACAGCCTCACAGATTGTTGGCAAAAAATCTCAAATTGCCCTTTATGCTTATTGCTATTCTCCTGGCTGTGGCGGCCATCTTTGAGCTGGTTTCAAATAATAATCAGCTGTAGATGTATAATTAATTTTTGAATGTTTAAATAAAATCCGCTCAGCGGTTTGCGAAATACTTTGCTAACAGTAGCAACTGAGGGATCACTCTCAGCTACTACCATTGCAAATTTTTGCACAAAATCTGTAAAATCACTTGTTGGCTGGTGCACATCTAATCTGTCCAGGGGTTCCTGAGATATTTTGCTAACAGACAAACACACCAACACTCATCCGGATTTGGTTTATTTTCATTTCTCATAACCCCCCCCCCTTCCCACCACCAAAATCATTCAGCATCTATTCAGATTCAATTACTCTGATTGTTGTAATCGAGGCCATTCAGCTGCTCTGAAACATAAATCAGATAAAAAAATGCTCTTAACTTGTCAACAAAAGGCAACGCCATTAGAATATATA